TCTCTGCTGTGGCGGGTTCCTTGGCAACGGCGGGCTGCCTCGGTAATGGCGGATGCCCCTCCCCCACAGAGCTGGACCATCCTGGGTTCAGCTTCGCTTACTGTGAAAGTCTCAATCCAGAATTTCTGGTTGCTGTTCTTTTTCGGGGGTGGGACCAGCCGAGCCTGATCGCCTGGCTCCCTGCCTCAGAGCCTTTGTTAAGTTGGTGTTCCAGTTGCCTGTTGAAGAGGCGCCGGGGTCTGTTTGTTTTCCCCTGCTGCAAGTCACTGCACTGGCTTAAACAGCAGCACTGAGGTTTGTGGCGCTTTTTTTTTTTTTTTTTTTGCCCTGGAATCTACTGTCCTGTTTCTCTGCTCAGTCCCCTTTTTGAATCGGCGAATGGGCGACTTCCCATGGCTCCAATCACCAGCCAAAAGGGCACCCGGACCGGTGTATTTTGTACGGAGAACTGCTGCTCTGGAGCGCCAACAAAGCAGCCACACGGGGCAAAGCAGCGGCTCCGGCCGGCACAGCCGCGCTGGCGAGTGTGGAGCTCCTCCGCCCGGGAATTTCCTAGTCTGTGGGCAATAAAAACGCGGCGTCCACTCACCCTCTGCGCTTTCACTGGGAGCTGCAATCCTGAGCTGTTCCTAAACGGCCATCTTGGATCCTCCAAAAAAAATCCTATCTTCTAACTTTTTAAGTGAGGAAGCTGAGACCCAGAGTTGGTGACTTGCATGTGGTCCTGAAGAAGGTCTACTCTCTCCAGCAACTGTGAATGGATGACTCTTGTCTGCCAGTTTTTGGCTAGCCTAGACAAAATTTCCAGCAACTTCAGATCCCCACCCGGGCTGTCCCTGAGACTTCCTAACCTTCATATGGTGTTTCAGATTTTAAGTGACCTGAAATGACAAGAAAACAAGAATTTAAGGCACAAGTGGGCAGTAGCATAAGAGTGTGTGATTAGATGTCCTATGTGTCTATGCAATTTTGGCCAACTGTGCAAACTCTCAGGAAGAACCTACAAGTGAGATCAGAACAACAGTCAACAAATGGGAATTCTCCTTAAGGTGAAAGGGTTCCTGATTTAAAGATTTTATCGTTTCCTCTGCAAAGTCAGAGAGGCCCCTGTAATGAAAAAATATTGCTCCAAGAATGTATGGCTGAAGCTTGTATGAAAGTATCCAGGGTTGCATACAGACTGTAAGTACTTAATTATCCTCTAGACCCATGCCATCAAGGATAAGTGGCATCAATTGAAATTAAATCTAATTAAAATTCAATTGTGTTGCAACAGTCACCTTTCAAGTGTTCAACAACCACATATAACTAGTGGTTATCATTTTAGATTGGGCAGAAGTAGAATATTATTATCATCAGGGAAAATTTTGTTGAACAGTGATACTCTAGTCTGTATAAATGTTCATAACTAGAAGTGAGACTTTATTATTTATTCAAAGGAGAGTCTTCTTTGAGAAGAGCTTCATAGAGGAAGAGGCAACTGAGATTACTTGCAAAACAATTCAAAATTAGTCATGAAAATGTTGGGGTGAATTAAGGCAGGAGTCAGGAGCTGTGACAGCCATCCTAGATCAGGACATAGAAATTGCCTTGTAGGATGTTAGTAATTTTGCAACTCTGAAGGGTAAGATGCATGAAGGGGCATGATAGGAAGTATGACTAAATAAATGACTTGGTGAGCTACTAAAGAATTCTGCATATTGTTATAAGGAGTTTGAATTTTCATGCTGGGCAGGAAGGAGAGCTGTTCAAGGATTCTCTGTAGAGATAGCTTGGGAATAACTTGGCCAAATTTTGCAAAAATTGCTCTTGAAATGGGTGAGAATGAGGATGAAAGGGATATTTTGGGAGAAAATAAAGAAAAAAGCAGGCTGAAAAAGCTATTGTATTTACCCCCATGTTTATTGCAGCACTATTCACAATAGCAATGATATACAATCAGCCAAAGTGTTCATCAAAGATGACTGCACGAAGAAGAATGTGATATACATATATCTATATCTATATCTATATATGTATCTATATATATGTATATATCTCACACCCAATAGAATATTATTTGGCCATAAAAAAAGAATGAAATCATGCCATTTGCAGCAACATGGATGGAACTGGACATTATTATGTTGAGTGAAATAAGCCAGATGCAGAAGAGCAAATATTGTATATTCTCACTCATATGTGGGAGCTTAAAAAAATTGATCTCATGGAGGTAGTTATTCCTGCAGAGATCTCCATAAACAATTTCTTAGGCTTTTTACCATGGATAACCAATTTAAGAACATTTATACCAAACACTCAAGTCTTCATTGACATAGAAGGAAGACTTGTATAGAGTTTGAAAGATATATTTCCTTAAGCCATGTATTTGACCACTGTGAAGATTTGGCCACTTGGCTATTCCAAAATTAAGTGATAAAAAGTGATAAAGAGATGAGTAACTGTTCTGCAATTATACAGGCAGTAGGAAAAATAAAAAACAAAATAAGTGTTGAGTAACCTGACTGTTGTCATCAAGATGTTAACCAAGAACTGTCAAAGCATGCTTATGTAACATTATGATAATTAGAAATAACAAAAACATGACAATTTTCTGAATACCTGATATAGTAGCTATTGTGTTAGCCCATTCTCACTCTGGTAGTAAAGATAAACCTGAGACTGGGTAATTTATAAAGGAAAGTGGTTTAATTGACTCACAGTTCAGCATGGCTGGGGAGGCCTCAAGAAATTTACAGTCATGGTGGAAAGGGAAGCAAACACATCCTTCTTCACAGGGTGGCAGGAAGGAGAATGAGTGCTCAGGGAAGGGGGAAGCCCCTTATACAACCATCAGATCTTGTGACAACTAACTCACTAGTCGTGGAAACCACCCCCATGATTCAATTATCTCCATTATGGGAACTACCATTCGAGATGAGGTTTGGGTGAGGACACAGCCAAACTATATAAGCTATTACTTTTTTTAAGTTTTCACTATGTATGAGAGACCAGGCACTGTGCTAAACTCAACAGTGCTTTATACAGTTATTTTCTAAGTATTATTAGCTCTATAAAAAAATGGAGAAATCTGAGAAAGAAAGGGTAAAAGCATCCTGACTTTATCCACGTATTCAGTAAAGGAAAAACCCAGGTTCTGAATACCAGCTGCCTCACCCCAAAATACTTGTGTATGACTTCTTTGTTCTTCATTATTTCATGTACTCTTCATAAGAATCCTGAAGATAAACATCATTAGAATCACTTTGCAGATCATGAACCAAAACTCTGATAAGTTTAATAAATTGTGCAGTACCACACGGCCCATAAATAGCCAAACTGACTTTCCAATTTAGATCATTGATTCAAGGTCTATTTTCTTTTCACTGTCTTCCTGGCTTCTAGTGTTTCATCTTCATGAACTGTCATAGGCTTTATTGATAGTGAAGACAATTAGAGAAATTCAGGGCTGGTCAGGACCCCGAAGATGATCACATCCTTCTCCCTGGTTCCTCGCAAGACAGGAACTCTACCTGCTTAGTATCAAGCTGAAGAGGGTTCTTTTATAAATAGCATTGATATTTCCACATTATAATAGTCTTACATACTTATTGAAGAAAAGCAGGAAAGTAGAGAAACAACTTAAAATGTCCAAAATTTTATTTGTTAATTTTCTTCTTAAAAAGGAAATATATCTTTTTGCTTATAGCCCTTCTCATATAAAATGACAGCTCCCATATCTTTAAATATTTTTCTACATTATGATTTTAAAAACAGCTTTGAGTCCCATTACATGATAAACCATAATGTATTAAAGCAATTTAGATTTTTGCCAATTAGGTTATCATCCTTGGCTAATGTCTGTGGTTATTTTCTTATGACCAACTCCAACAAATTGAATTTCGAGACAGGGCAATAGAATTTTAATGTTTTTGATATATAGTGCCACATTGTCTTACAAAAAATGTGTGCCCGTTGGTGCTCCTAGCAATAGAGTGTGAATGTATTCATTTTATGTATTCTTGCCAATTCAATTGGCAAAAAATGGCATCTCTATGCTGTTTTAAATAGATTTTGGTTTCAACTGTGGCAGGCTGAATCATGCTTCCCGCCGAAAACTATGTCCTAATCTCTGGAACTTGTGAATATGTTACATTATATAGTAAAAAGAATTTTATAGATGTGATTGAATTAAGGATTTTTAGATGGGAAGGTTATCCTGGCTGATCTTGGTGGGCCCAATGTAATTCTAGAGTCCTTATAAGGGGAAAACAGGAGGGAAAGAGTTATAGAGAGAAGATATGAGGATGGAAGCAGAGGTCAGAGATGAGAGAAGTTACTATGCTGTTGCTTTGCAATTGGAGGAAGGGGTCATGAACCAAGGAATGTGGGCATCCTCTAGAAGCTGAAAAGATAAGCCACAGATTCCCAAAGAAACTTTAGAAGGAACACATCTGTATTAGTCCACTTTCATGCTGCTAATAAAGGCATACCCAAGACTGGGTAATTTATACAGGAAAAAGGTTTAATAGACTCAGTTCCAGATGGCTGGGGAGGCCTTACAATCATGGTGGAAGGCAAGGAGGAGCAAGTCACAGCTCTGCAGCAGGCAAAGAGAGAGGTTGTTCAGGGAAACTCCCCCTTACAAAGCCATCAGATCTCGTGAGACTTATTCACTACCATGAGAACAGCATGGGAAAGACCCACCACAATGACCCAGTTACCTCCCACAGGGTCCCTCCCACAACATGTGGGAATTGTGGAAGCTACAATTCAAGATGAGATTTGGGTGGGGACACAGCCAAACCATATCAACATCCTTGCAGACCCATTTTAAATTCTGACTTCCAGAACTCTAAGATTATACATTTATGCTGTTGTAATCCACTGTATTTGTGACAACTTGCTCCACCATTCTATCTTCTTATTTTTATATTTGTTTTCCCCTTAGTCCTTAGCTTATTTTTTATATTGTTGATCTTACTTTTTACCTATGGCTTTTTCTTTTTTTTTTTTCTCAGTCCCCGAGCGACTGCCAAAAATTGCCAATGCCAACTATATTTCAGGTCATCTTGGTGGGGTATTGGAAAAAGTTTTCAATTAGCAATAACTGCATCTCGGATAAACCTCATTGGCTACAATACTGCCACTGCACAAAGCTTACCTATGGCTTTTTAAAGCCTCTTTCTATATTAAGGCTATTAGCCATTCTTCAGTCACATTGCCAATATTTTCTCCAATTGTTTGTCTTGTAACTTTTTTCAGTCTTTTGTATGTAGTTTTCCCCCCATAGTATATAGAAATAAGAATCATTATAACCTGTAGTATCAGAAAGTCTTGGACTTAAGTTTCAGCTCTAATTTTAGACAAGTTGTTTTACCTCCATGAACTTTAATTTTCCTATATGTACATTGGGAAAATAATAGTATCAGCCTTATGAAGATAATTGTAATGATTAAATGAAATAATGCATGTAAACAGTTATGATTGTATCTCATATTTAGTAAGTAATCAATACATATTATTCATTTTACTATTATTTTATTGGCATCTTTTATTTTCTGGTTTCTTCCCTTTGAAATTAATTTTTTATCTACATAATAGTACATATTTACAGGGTACATGTGATATTTTGAAACAAGCATACAATGTGTCATGATCAATTCAGGGTAATTGGGCTATCCATCACCTCAAACATTTATCATTTCTATGTTTTGGGAACATTCCAAAACTTCTCTAGCTATTTTGAAATATATAATACATTATTGACAAATATAGTTGTCTTACTATGCTATTAAACACCAGAACTTATTCCTTCTATCTAATTGTATGTACCGATTAATCAACCTCTCCTCATTCCAATCTCCCCCTACCCTTCCCAGCCTCTGGTGATCACAATTCTACTCATTATCTCCATGAGATCAACATTTTTAGCTCCTACATATGAGTGAGAATATGTAGTATTTGCCTTTCTGCACCTGGCTTATTTCATTCGTGATAATGTTCTTAATTTCTATCCACGACACTGCAAATGACAAGATTTCATTCTTTCTTATGGTTGACTAATATGGTTTCTTTCTCTACTGAAGGACTTGAGGTAGGAAGTTTTGCATTTTATCTTGGATCCATTCAATGGCTCCAAATTTCATATAGTTAGGAGCTTGCCTTTTTCAGTCTCAATCAAATTATTCCCAGGACAAATTACTGCCATTTTCTTTTCTCTCAGACATTAAAGGAGGGTAGCAAGTCATCCTTATTTTCAGTCTGACCCATGATGAACTTGATAACCTGTCATTATAGTTAGCTGGGAAGCCTGGTTGCTGATGGATGCTTTGCTCTTTCACTCTTTAATTGGTGGATGAGGAAGAAAGAGGCAAAAGGAAGTCTTTCCCCATCATTTTCTCAGTTGATTCTACAGAAGATCATTTCTATTTTGATCCCAGTAATGGCAGGTGATGAAACTGCCAATAAGTTCCAGGCTTATCTAACAGCTGGCTCAAAGGTAATAATGTATATAAATGTGAGCTCTAATCCAAGCTTTTTTTGCAAAATGAAACTGTCTAAAAGTCAAACATCTGTTAAAAGAACGCAGAATTCTAGGCAAAATGTATCCAGAAGCAACTTGTATAACCTGCTAGTGCTAGTGCTTTTTGTTCTCATGATTTTTTTTTTTTTCAAATGAGTTTGCTTTTTGAAGTGGTGGGGGTGGGTAGACAAAAGTAGAAATGTCTTTTTAAAATACTCCAAGTACATTGAGTTTTCTTCTCTTTGATTTTGGATCAACATTGATTTGGCAGAATTTGGAAACAGATTTCTTTTTTCTAAGAGCAAAAGAACTTTAGTCCAAAGTGTTTTATTTCCTATATCAGCAGAATTCTGAGGTCATTGTTACAGAAGATGACAATTCGGTTCATAAGGGAGCAGATCATTTTTTGTTGTTGTTCAGAGTTCTGACTATCAGATTATATGCTCTGTGATTGCAGGGATGCTTCTATTCTCTGTCCTAGTGTCAGAATTCTCACAAATGAACAAACAAAACAAAACAAACAAACACATACAAGATTATAAATGGGTTTGCTTATACCTACTGTCCCTTTGATTTGAAATGACAATAATTATTACTTCATCTCAAATTATCTATTTAGGAGCATCTGTTGAATGTCTAATATCCCAAAACTTGTGAGTATAGGAGAGAAAATAAAGCAGATTACTCTTTGACATTACGGTACTTGGTATGCTGTACGTTTAGCAAGCAAGAGCAACCTTGGCCATCTACATGCTCTGGAAGATATTCCAGATTCATGTAATATCATCTGGAAGATATTCCATCTGAAGATATTCCAGACGATATTACATTAATCTGGAATATCTTCTCTACTCATTGCTTAGAACGTACTTGGTAATCCATCCTACTGAACTAGCATGTTATTCCATTCAAATGCCTTTCATTAGCCCAGAATCCCAATTGTTCAGCACTCCCTCCCTTCTCCTGATCCAACAGAGAAGCCAAGCTTTTCCCTTCTATGTTGCCTATCTCTCCCCAAGGAGTGCTGCCTTCTCACAGGGCCACTTCTTGTCTTGCACACTCTCAAGCTCTCTTCCTTTTGAAGCTGCAGTGCCAGAATTCTGATCCCTCAGTTGTCAGGACTGTTCTCTGTTTTCCCACTCAGGACGGGTTCCTCTCTTGCTGTGAATGATGTTATTTGGTTTCTTTTGCCACTTGGATCCATCACACTTTCTTCTTTATCACATAGCCCTCACTAGGCAGGACTCGAGATCTTCCACCGCTGGTTTTAATGGATTATTTACCTAGTTAGATGAACATGAGAGTCAGTAACATTTCTGTTTTCTAGTTATGCTAGAGGCATGAACTATGGTAGATTTTGGTTGCTCTGCTTGTTGACCTACCTGGTGTTTTGTGGATGTATAGAGAGATTTGAATTTATGTGTACACTGTTATCCTGGGGTATGTTTTTACTTAATGAAAATAAAACAGAATCTCTCCTTTGCTACTGTTAAACTAGTTCACTTCACCATACTCTTTTTGCAGATCTTACAAAGATCCTTATAAAATTGCATGCAAATGTTTTAGTCCTGTAACTTGGTTTATAGATCTGAGATATCTATAAACCCACATATCCAGTTATAAACTCACAAATCTATAAACCCACAAATCCAGTTATAACCCCACATATCCAGTTATAAGGAGAAAAGCAAATCAGCCTTGATATGGAGGTTCTTCTGTCCCCTAGCCCTACAAACATTCTCAGTGGAATCACTTATGGCTCTTTAAAAATCTTCTTGAAAGTTTTTATGGTTCTAAAACTCAATAACCAATAACATCCTTAGACCCAGGCAAGATGTTTCTTCTGAGCTTTGAACTTTAGAGGGTCCTACATCACACACACACACACAGACAGACAGACAGACACACACACACACACACACACACACACACACACACACACTAATTTATTAAAGAACACACAGAATTCTTTGTCATTTGGGATCTAGCACTTGGTGCTGGCACAGTGTGACCAATAATCCTAAACATCTACTCTTTTAACCAACATTGTTCAAGTCCCAGAGAAAAGCTCCTCTACATTTCTTGCTGTATGTCCACAAAACAAAAGAAACTGTGTCCAAAGGCCATGAAGATTTGTGAATTGCACACCTGCTGACATCAGAGATGGACACTGCTTTGGAGTGCAGGGAGAATTGGAGCAGTAGAAGGGCTTAATTTTAGAGGAAAGACAAATCAATTAATTAGTCAAATAATATGACATATTATGTAATATGAATACTAGATTTTTACCTAACAAAATATAATTTCCCAAAAGTGTCAACTATTCATTTTCTTGCTTCTCTTAATGTTTTAATTTGTGATTCCAGAGAAACTCCTAAATTAGTGCAGAATTTGCAAGGATTAGCCAAAAATATTTTATTATATTAAAAAATCCATATTACTCTTAAATTTGCATGTATGTAAATAACATGCATGATGTATGATACTAATGTTTACAATGGTGACTAGATAGGTCCCAAATACTACAGTTCCAAATAAATTTATTTTTACAAAAATATTTTTAATTTTATTTTTATAGTTAATTATATAATTTTGAAGTTTTAGAAGAAAAATGATTTTAAAATACATTCAATTTTTAATCATCAATTTATTTTTTATATCTTGCATATAATTTTATTTTTTAGATGAAAATACACTCAAACTTGAATACTTTGAATACAATTACATTTTATGTTTTACTCCTTTAGTCCTTGCTCAATCTTCTTAGATATTTGGTCAATTCTTTGTCTTCTGGCAGACCATGACTTAATGCATTTCTTATCTTGTCATTACAAAGGTCTATTTGTCAAAGTTGAAGAACAGAATATTTAAATCAAGCATCATTTTTACTATTGCTCCAGCCCTGAAAATGTAAGGGCAGATTTTCCTACAGTCTTTCTCGGTAACTTGTTCTAGTGGTTATCATTCTGTTATTTGAAAATTTTTTCTTGTATCAAACAGAAGTTTTCCCTACTGCATCTTAAGCCATTTCTTTTTATATTTCAGATTACACACACACACACCCATTTATATACATGTGGTAAACATTATCAGATGGGATTTTAAAAAACATGTCTTACAATTTTCCCTGAAAATGAGAATTTAGAATTGTGATTTTTTTCTCACATTTTTATGATTGATTTTTCAGGCCTTTTCTCCCTACCATATACAGAGATGTGTACCTGTTTCTGAAAGGTAAATAAGAACTCCATGATGCTGTTATTATTAATAGAATAGCATTGAAAATATACATCTGAAAAGGAAGCAAAAGAGAAATGCATTGGAAATACATTTTTCAGGTCGTCTTAATTTTTCTGCAGCTAGCCTAAACTCAAATTGTATTTGGCTTGTGTATTACTAGTGACTGTGTGGAAAGCAAGTAAGCTTAGCTGGCTTAGAAGTTTGGGTTCTGTCTTCTAAGGATTCTGTCATGCTGGCTGGAGGCTTAGTTGTTCATCTATAAAATATAGAGCTTCTGCTTCCAACCTTCTACCTATTTCACAGACACGCAGTAATGTTTTAATGAAAAGTACTTTGAGCTCTTTGGGGGAAAAAAAAAAAAGATGCTCTCTGTAAACAGAGAATTGGTACCAAAA